AAGATTAATAAGCAATCACGCAGCCAACACGATCACAAGTGCCACTAGATGCTCAAACTCAATGCAAATGCACTTTAATCACTCCCAATCTCAGTTTGGATGAACAAATCAAGAGCTAGATGAGTGGGAGGCGTGGGAGTATGCTAATGAGGTGTATTAACAAGTTAGAGAGCCAAGAGAGTGAGCAAGAGCCAGCCAACACGTTTTATAGATCCCCCAAGGCTCAAGTAGCTGTTGACCAACTCACTGTAGCTTTTTCAAGAGCATCGGACGCTAGAGTGTCCACATCGGACAAAAGCGCCAGCGTCCGATGCCATAGCGAGCTGACACGTGTCACTAGTTGTTTGAACTAGCCATTGCGCGCCCAACGCTCACCTCTGTCCGATGCCACATCGGACAAAGCTACGCCAGCGTCCGATGTAGTGTTGAAGTCCACGCCGAGCGCACTCAGTCAATCATCGGTCAAGGCGTAGTCACATCGATCGATGTGAGAATTTGTCCCATGTCCTCCATCTTCATCGTCCGATGCCTTCGCGTGATTTACATCGGACGCAACCAATTTGTTCGATGCATATTGTCCGATGCTTGTCCAATGTCCGAAGAATTATTTCTCCAAACAGAGATCGACCAAAACACATCGGATCTGACATTATTTGTTTGATGCCTTCTCCTTGCCAGCGTCCAATGCATCTATGTTGCTTGGCCAAGCCTAGGGTTTGCCATCGGACGCAACATCCATTTGTCCGATGCATGTGTCAACATTATCCGATGCAACTCAGTGGATTCTTTCACTTCTTTCCTTCATCTCTTGTGCAAAAGTGCTAGCTCTAAAGCATTTCCAATTAGTGTGCACGTGAGTTAGCTTTTTCAAAAGCAATTTTTAAGAGATGTCAGCACTTACTAGGTCCTAATGCAAATGCACGGAGTTAATTCACCTGGTGGCACTAGATAACCGTATTAACCATGAGATCACCCCTCTTAAGAGTACGGCTATCTATCATAAACCCAATCACGCACTCTATTGCGTCTTGATTAGCAAAACTAAAATCCTTATTTATACATTTGCCTTAATATCCATAGGGTTTTGTTTTTCTCTTTCTTCTTTTACAGGTTAGAGCACTTGAATACCGTCTTTTTACCCATCTCCATCACTTAGTGCTATCTAGCTCCATCACTTGGACTTGGACCACGTCATGACTCAACGGACGGAGTCTCCCAAACGCACATACAAGCTGTCACAAATCCAGCGGTAGTATACACTATCCATTGATTTTTTTTCAGAGGACAAGGTGGAGGAGACGGGGTGGTTGGTGGATGGTGAGGTTGGGTGATGTCATCAGTGGCCAGCGTGGAACTGTAAAACCAATCTAATCAAAATCCAAACTTTTAATTTGTGGTGGCACCGGTAGATATTATCCGTGTGTAACTTGAACAGAAGGTAAGTCTTGTGCACGTATGTAGCCGAAAGAATAATGTCTTCGTCAGTTTAGGATAGCAAAATGTTGTCCTATATAAAATGCGCTCTTGTAGCACCAATAACTTTATTGAATTTTGTAAGTATATTCCTTGAGAGCTGATAGCGGTGTGTAACAGCCATTGGTGCTTGCCTTGGTGGGTCGCTAGCTAACCGCATGGACTCCATGCATGTGTTGCTTATATAAGGAGAAAAAGGTAGTCAATGGGCATCGGAGCCGGCCACTTTTCTTCATCTCCTGTCATGTCCTGTCCCATGAGATGCTTGGGTGGTGCACCGTTTGTTAGCCCGTTCGATTGGCTGGTTCGTTTCGTTGCTGGTTCGTAAAGAATTACTGCTGACTAGTTTATGTGAGAGAAAAATACTATTCTGACTGAAAATTTACGATCGTTTACGACAAGCTACAACAAACGAAGAGGCTGTGTGTCCGGCGCTAGCTAAAAACCTGCCCGTGTAGCATATGCATGGATATCCAAGAAAATAAAGGCAAAGTAAACGCGCGGTGGCCGGTGCAGTGACCAACTGACGACGACCGAAGGTCAGGTTTTCCTGGGCCGGACGACGCACGCACGTTCACGTGCAAAAGCTATAGCAGCTGCCCGTTGCCCACGGACCAGAACGACATGTGGCGCATGGAACGTGTTAGAAATCACGTTTTTGATTTGCACACAAACACAAGAGAGACAGAGTTGGGAGGAAGGGAGAGCTTTCTTTCTGTATTTCACTTTTTCTTCTTGTAATGATCTTACAATGGTGAAAGTGACCTCCTATTCATAGTGAAAGGAGGCTGCGTAAAACATCAGCTCCAAATGCTCTGACTTTGTCCCTTCTCTTTCACATGGATTTAGAACTTTTGTCCCTTCTCTCCACATGGATTTGGAACTTTTGTCCCTTCTCTCCACATGGATTTGGCCACCATCTTTGTCTTTGGTTTACAACAGAACGGAAGCGCGAGCCGGTGGGGTGGAAGGAGAACCGCAGCCTGAGGCCGCTAACCACCCAGCCGGCCAGCCGTCAGCCCCCACGGGCCACGACCTCTTGGCCCCTTGGGTCTGGGACGAAAGGAACCCAAGGACGCCCGCGTTTCGGCGTTGGTCGTGCCTTGCGGATGTCCGTCCATGCGTACCTGTTGTTGGCGCTTGGGCACCCCGCGCGCCCGGTGGCCTGCCGATTGAGGCCGCGGTACGCACGCCTCCACCTTGAGATCGCTACTTATAACTAGCTGCAAAAACTTCGCAGTTGTCCACATCTTTTTTTTGGTGGATTCACAGTTCAGTCTAGTTTATCTCTCTCCTAGGAGATTGACATGTCTCATCTCATTTGCAGGCATATACAGTACGACTTTGCTTAATAAGTTTGTTTGCTTTTAGATAGGAATGAGTACTTATGTTCATGGTTTTGAATTTTAGATTTTGAAACAAGATTTTCAATTTTTAGTTTTGCTGGGTAACCAGATAAGGATAAAAGCGCTTGGAAGACAACTAGTAGTCCTGCGATGACTAGTTCCATACGAAAACGTTGTACTGAGAAATTGTAGGCAGTACGTACATTTGCATGCGATTATTTCTTATTTTTCGAGCGGTGTTTGGATAAGTGGATTAAACTTTAGCCCTGTCATATCGAATGTTTGGATGCTAATTAGGAAGAATAAACATGTGATAATTATAAAACTAATTGCAGAAGCTCTGGGCTAATTCGTGAGATGAATCTATTAAGCATAATTAATTTATGATTAGCACATGTTTATTGTAGCACCATGTTGTCAAATCATAGACTAATTAGGCTTAATAAATTCATCTCGCGAATTAGCCTCTATTTGTGGAATTAGTTTTTTTTGTAATTAGCCTATGTTTAATATTTCTAATTTGTATCAAACATGCGATGTGATAGAGCTAAAGTTTAGCCTAGGGTATCAAACACCTAGAAATTAAGCCAATTTGCATGGACAAATTGTAACAGATGGAGAAACTCGGTGTATGTTATTTATAATTTTCTTTGTTTACACGTTATTATCAGCTAATCTTACCTATGATCTGTCTATGCATTAGCTCACTTGTTGAACTACTGGCAAGCCTGTACGTGCGATTCAATAGCCCATGGATCGTACACATTGTGTTAGCCCGTGAAGGCTCTTGGATTGCTAGTGTAGGTGTAGGATCAGCCTGTGAGGTAAAAAAGGATTAGGGTGAATTAAATGGTGTGCCTTTTTTTTAGTGGAAAATGGTGTGGCTTTATAGAACGTATCAGATTGGGCTGAATCAAATTGATAAGGGTTGAGTGGAATTGGGACTAGTCCTGAATCTCCTAGGGTTGGACAGGATTTGGGCCGGATCGTGCCCATTACAGAGTCGTTGGCGGGCTCTGCGGCCTTATAATTGGAATTTGGGCTCTGCTTGCTTTGGATCTCTGCGGCCTGCTTTGTTCAGTTAGGCCTTGTTTAGATTCCAAATTTTTTCACTCTCTCTCCATCACATCAAATCTTTAACACATGTATGAGTATTAAATATAAATAAAAAAATAACTAATTATATAGTTTAATTATAAATTACGAGACGAATCTTTTGAGCCTAGTTAGACCATAATTGGACAATAATTATCAAATACAAACGAAAATACTACCATATCAAATACTGGTTCACAACCATCATCTAAACATTACTGAAATTTATTGATAGGCGCCAAAACAGAGTTGGCTTCGGCAGATTCGCGGCTACACCGCCCAAATATTTCGTGACAACTGACCAAACTCCAAACCTCCCTCTCCCAAAGTTTCGAATCTAGGTCTTATTTAGATTAAAGTTTTTTTACTTTCTCCATCATATTAAATCTTTGAACACATACATAAAATATTAAATATAGATAAAAAAAAACTAATTACACAGTTTTGATTATAAATTACGAGACGGATCTTTTAAGCCTAGTTAGACCATAATTGAACAATAATTGTCAAATACAAATAAAAATACTACAGTATCAAATACAAACGAAAATGCTACAGTGTCAAATACTGATTTCTAACTTCATTCTAAACAAGATCCTGTTACTGAACTGCCTATTTTCAAACTGTATAGGCCGGTAGGTAGGATATTCAAATGCCAGAAATACCAAACCTGAAAACACACTTGCGAGCACTAGAGCACAACGAATTCAGCTTGCAAAGCCCTGGAATTTGAATGAAAGAATAAACATTTGAAATAAAATAAAAATCAACCCATTCTCCACTGCCAACTTCAGAAGCAGGACACTGAATTCCAAAATTCCAACACTTGTAAAAATCTGCAACACCATCTCACAAATTGGCGCGACATTACTGAACTGACATATCATGGTAAGCAGGCAATAATACTACTGAACAACATTCAGATAACCAGAGCATTCCATTACCACCATGACTAATTCATAATACATGCAAAAGCAACTGCAGCACATGATAGTTACCACTACTACCACACCAGCCAACCACTACTACCACACCAGCCAACCACTACTACCAGCAGAAGCAGCACATCACTTGGTGACGGCCTATCTAAGAGGAGGTGAACTTGGTGACGGCCTTGGTACCCTCCGAGACGGCGTGCTTGGCGAGCTCCCCGGGGAGGACGAGGCGGACCGAGGTCTGGATCTCGCGGGAGGTGATGGTGGGCTTCTTGTTGTAGCGGGCGAGCTTGGCGGCCTCCGCGGCGAGCTTCTCGAAGATGTCGTTGATGAAGGAGTTCATGATGGACATGGCCTTGGAGGAGATGCCGATGTCGGGGTGCACCTGCTTCAGGACCTTGAAGATGTAGATCTTGTAGGTCTCCACGCTCTTCTTCCCCTTCTTCCTCCCCTTCTTCTCGCCGCCCTCCTTGCCGGCGGACTTGCCCGCCGGGAGCCGCTTCTCCGCCTTGGGCTTCTTCCCCGCGGGGGCCTTATCCGCCGGAGCCGCTTTCTCCGAGGGCTCCTCCTCCACCGGCTTCTTCGCCGCCGGCTTCTTCTCCGCCTTGGGCGCCATCGATGCCGCTCGGATTCTCTAAGCGAAGGAGGGTTTGCTCGATTGGAAAACGATGATGGTGTTGTCAAGCGGCGGAGGATTTGCGGTGGAGGAAAGGGAGATGTGGGGGGCGGTTACTTATAGCGGAAATGTGGTGCGCGCTGGTTGGTGGAAGGGTTGATGCCGCGGATCGCTGGCGTGGAGGCGCGCGAGGCGTTGGTGCTTCTTGGCTTGGACAGCTGAGATGCGTTTCGGGGCGGATCGCTGACATGGCCAAAGTGTGGGCGGGAAGAGACGGAGGGAAATGGTTTTCGTCGCGCACGCGGGTGACGTCATAGTCAGGTGAGCAAGAATTTCTCTGTTCCTCTGCGGGTGCTGCACGACCGCGATGGCGTTGAAGTGGATAATTATTGTGTGTTTTTAGGGCACGTTTGGAACAAAAGGAACTGAAAACAGAAGAATAAAAAAAACCATAGGAATATGATTAGTGTGTAGTAGCAAAATAGAGGAAAGGAAAAACGCAAGAAATAAAAGAAAGAGATGTTTCGAATACAGGAATTCGTAACAAGGGAATCGCAAAATATATGAACGATAAAGATCATTATTAGTTTCTAACGATAATATGGTAATTGCATAGTTTGTCTATATATTCTCCTGCATGTGGGGCCATTGGTGCCCATGGACTCAAACCATGATGGTTCATTGTTCAATACAGTTGTAGTCCACTCACATGTCTCTTTTCCTCTTTTTGTTGCTATAGCATGGATAAGCTCCACTCTTTTATCTTCTTTAGCACAAAATCAACGACGGAGAGTGAGTTGTTACATCGGTCTTCGTGAAGGAAGAAAATCCATGAAAACTGATTGGATTCTTTTTTTCCTGTGTTTTGTTCATGCTAGGGAGCTGTTCCTTAGGAATGGAAGTTGTAATTCATTTGTTCCAAACGGCAAACTGTAAAGCCTTTTCACATGAATAAATTCCTCTATATTTCCTTTGAAAATCCTTTAATCCAAACAGAGCCTTAGTTTAAAAAAAACCGCAACTCGAGTAGTAGAATATCATTAGATTCACAGTGGAATATAATTTTATGATAAACTTATTGGAGATACAAATATTAATATAATTTTTTATATATTTATTAGTCAAATTTAAAAAATGATTCTTCAAGAAGCAAGATGTGCACTTGTTTTGGTATATGGAGAGAGTACGTTTCAGTTCATGGCCTATGTTTTTGGAAAATGAAAAATTTGTTTCACATTTGAAAGCAACATGATAGTTACCTAGTATAGCCTCAACTTCGTAATTTGATTCTGGAGAAATAATCAATTCTTTTTTTTTTCGACTTGGAAATAATCAATTATATTGGGATAAGTAAACTATGTAAGTATAAAAGGTTCTTGTGTGGTTTTGTAATTGAGTGACAACCTAGGTGGACTAATTGTGTTTATGTGAGATACACAAGTGATTAGTTCACATGTACATGTGTGTGAGCAACATATACCATGAAGATAAAGATGGCGTGGAGATGTTGCAAAAATCACACATGTGACGATGAAGGAGCTTATTGCGCATGAGACATGACATTGAGTCATGTGATCAAGATGGAGAAGATCAAGACAAGACTTGGCTTGATGAACCGGTTGCAAGCGTGAAGGGCAAGTCGAAGGCTTTGGAGTGATGGACCGCGTGGCGGTGAAGCTTGAGCAAAACTTGGTGCCGATGGACGATGGCAACGGTGAAGAGCAAGTGAAGTCAAGATCGATAAACCAATTTCGCCGGCGGAGATGCGGTGGCGAGGGCGGCGCGAGCAGAGCTCGGTGTGGGGCGAGGGAGAGATGCAGTGCGGGAGAGGAAAAATGGGGAATGCTGGGAGAAGCGGAGCTGCTGGGGCTTGAAAACGGGCGAGGTGCGTGCTCGCGGGGGCCACGGGACGCCACCCGGCCGGCGTCGCCGGCATGCGCTCGCCACGCGGCGCGGCATGCCTGACACGGTCGGACGCGTCCGCGCGTGCGGGGGGAGAAGACAGCGCGCGGGCGTGGGCTGGGCCGTGGCGAGCGAGCTGGGCCGAGGCGAAGGCGCGTGCGCGGTGAGGAGCGCTGGGCCAGCTTCGGCTGATGGGCCAGAAGTGAGGCGGCGGCCCGTTAAATGAGATAAGCATTTTCCAATTCCATTTTCAATGAATTTTCAAATATCAATTTTCAAGTACCATTTTGAGCAAGAAAATGACTTCTTTTGAAAATGGCCCAAAAATAAAAGTTGCTTAGAATTTAATCCTTTACAACTTGGTTTTAGGGACCAACTAAAAATTTTGCATAGATTTTGAATTGGGAAGTAAAAGCTAAATAGGGAGGATTTTTGACCATTTTCAATAATAATTTCAAAAGCATATTTTGTCAAAAGTTTGAATACAAACTTTGCTCCAAAAATTATGCTAAATAATTCTAGATGGTTTACAATTATAGCCAAACATGTTTTATTAGCCTAGCAAGCATAATTAGGGCAAAAATAACTCTAAACAAGTGTATGCAACATTCATGTTTCACGAGCATATTTCATATGTTTCAAAGCATTGTTTCAGTTATTATTTACACGATTAGGCATGTATGATTATGATGCTTGATGATGCATAATATGCATGATTTGCAGTGCCTAAATGCTTGCATAACACCGGGGTGTTACACACATGATGGTGTACACTTGGTGGTGTTGGCACATTAAAAAAGAGATGAAGTTGGAGTTGATGTGGATCAACTCGGTGAAGAAATGGAGGCGAAAGGAGAAACTCCACCGGCGGAGTGTCCACCCGTAGAGTGCGGACAGTCCGACGGTGCTACTGGCGCCCTAGACAGAAAAGACAGGGTCTCACATAGTGGACCAGACACTGGTCACGTAGTGACCGGACGCTAGGGTCCTGCGTCCGGTCAACATGACGTATGGTGACACAGGCAGAGCAGAGAAGTTGCGAGTGATCGGACGCTGGTGCTGCGTCCGATCGCGTTCGACCGGACGTGTCCGGTCATGTCCAGTACCTTACTGGAAATGACCGGACGTTGGAGGCTCTAAGTCTGGTCAGTTGTTGCTGGAGCGTCCGGTCAATAGATGACCGTTGAGATCTAGTGAACAACGTTTGAAGGAGGGGACACGTGGCGAGTATCACGTGACCAGACGCTGAGGTCCAGCGTCCGGTCGATCGGACCGGAGCGTCCGTGAAAGTGCATCTAGCCCTTTAGTGGGTTTTGGATGATTGAATGATAACGTGATTAAAGGTCTAACCCATTTGCTAAGTGTGGACAGGTGATAGGTTATCTCACAGGTACTTAATGAAAGCCAAAATGATGTGTTGCTGTATAAACAATCTAGTTCAAGCACAAGACAACAATGCAAATGGAATGCATGCAAAGGCTTGTTTATTGTGGGATTTCCATGTACTATGTAAAAGCAAGCTTGTGAGAATTAATTAATGAGACATAATGGTTTGCATATGAAATGGTCTCATATTTGAAGCTTGCTAAATTGAAATAAAAAAGATAACAATACAAATGAATGGATGATTCAACACAAGATGTGACTTGATGGCTTGAGATGGTGAAGATAGCAAGGAAAGGCTTCGAGGTACTAAGCAAGGGTGAAGGGCAAGCAACGGCTTGGCAACCGAAGAACCTAGCTAGGGTGAAGAAAAAAAGTACTTGCATTTAGTTGAGGTACTAATCAAGCTATGATGGCCACGTTTATGTAAAGGATCAAATCACTATTGGAGTGTTTGAAGGAAGTGACTTGATACATTTGGGATTATTCAAATATGATGAATGGAATCAAGTCACGTGCTCAAGATGGCTATGCTCTAGTGAAAAAGATCAATATCAACATGTTGGCGCCCTCACTTGATGAAGATTGAAATACACGGCTTCGGTTCAAAAAGAGCAACTCAAAAGGTTTAAATTCGTTATACTTTTTAAATTTGAGTAAATAGGAATGTCGTACTATTAAGAGGGATGCATCATGTTGATAGATAATGTTTCATAAGTGCTCAAGCCAACCCATGTGAGATTTGAGTGTTTGAGAGACAAAAGAGCTAACTGACTTGTTGCTGGTCTGGCCATACCGGACGTGCCATACCGGACGTGTCCGGTATTTACCCAGTAACTGTAAAAGTGTTGTTCTCGGGTTGGTTCGTCGGGAGTTCCGACGTATGTCGGGAGTTCCGACGGTCGGAAGTTCCGGCAATGGTCGGGAGTTCTGATGACTCGCAATTTAAATAATTTGGAGAGTTCATTGTCCAGGTCATACCGGACGTGTCCGGTATTCATACTGGACGTGTCCGGTATGGACGACCAGAGGCCAACGGCTAATTTTCCAAAGCCTTGAGGGTCGGGAGTTCCGACGGTCGGGAGTTCCGGCATGCATCGGGAGTTCCGACACCTCACTAACTTTAACTCAGTTACATGGTTTTCAAATTTGCTGAGGATCGGGAGTTCCGACGTGAGTCGGGAGTTCCGGCATTCATCGGGAGTTCCGACGCCTCACAAGTTCACTGTAACTTAGTTACCGTTGGGGCAGTGTAAGTCATACCGGACGTGTCCAGTATGCATACCGGACGTGTCCGGTATTGCAACGGCTAGTTTTTCAAGGGGGCTATAAATACCCCTAAGCCTCCACCTTTGGAGGCTGCTGATTCTACTGAGATAGACACACGTTTTTGAGCCTTGCCAACTATCCTAAACCCTCTCTTAGTGAGTGTGTGATCCAAATTGCAAAATCAATTTATGGGTTAAGAGAGAATTTGAAAAAGAGAGCAAGCCACCACTTGAGCATTTGTGCATATTGTCAATCTCATGATTCGCATTTGTTACTCTTGGACTCTTCGGTCCTAGACGGTTAGGCGTCGTCGGAGAGCACCCGAGAGATTGTGGTGTGCCTCGGAAAGTTTGTAACGGTCGATTCCGCCGCCTCGAAATCAAATTAGTGGAAGGAGGAAAAGGAGTTGGAAAAGACTCCGGCTAGAGTGACCTTCGTGGTACCCTCTAGGGCTGACCTTCGCTGGGTCGCCCGCAGCCCCCTCAACGGAAAGTAGGACTCGAACGAGTTCGAACTTCGGTAAAACAAATATCGTGTCTCAATTCGTATTTCATTTGATATTTATGTTGCTCTAGCTATTATGTAGGTTCTCTGTGTATATTGTCATCTCCATTAGGTACCTGCAGTTTGGTTTGAAGATAGAAATCGAAAGGAGCAAGTTCGGGGCCGATCTGCAGAAATCGTGTATACCGGACACGTCTGGTATTTCCTGCCTGCACTGGAAATATTTATTCTCTGTTCTAACTTGGTATTCCAGGGTTGTAGCTTCTAGATATATTCTTTATACCTTGTTTACTCTGTGGCTAACTTATGAGGGGTGGTAGTATTCTTAATTTGGAGTTTCCATTTTGGAAACTCCCCTTTCTAATTGTTTCCTCATTTAAAGGTGTTAATTTTTAGAAACGCCTATTCACCCCCCTCTAGGCGACATCCTAGGTCCTTTCACTCTGGTCGTCCCGACTTTTGCCCAGTGAAGAGGTAACGGCTCTATTTGTTCGTGGGGTTATAAATAGAAGCCATGGTCAGCCTTGGGTCGGTAGCTGAGCACACTAGGGCCTTGGTGGCTTGTGTAGTAGTGCTTGGGAGCCCTCCTTCTCACACATACTTGATAGTGATCATCCGATTGTGTGAGTGAGCGATTCTAGTGCGATTGCATCATGAAGTTGCATCGAGTGGCACTAGGTGATTGAGTTGCAAGCCCGTGGTGTTTGTTACTCTTGGAGGTTGCCACCTCCTAGACGGCTTGGTGGTGGTCTCCGTCGAAACCCGTAAGAAGCTTGTGCGGCGCTCCGGAGAAGTGCTTTGTGAGGGGCATTGTGCTCGCCCCGTGGGAGCCGCGAAGAGCAACTTTAGTAAAGCGTGTCATTGAGCTACCCTCACTTCCAGGGTAGGTTCTTGCGGCGTCCGACGTGCGGGTTTGGCGGGTGATGCCAATTAACCGCCGAACCACCAAGTGAGCGGTCAACACAACAGGGACTAGCGTGTTGGTAAACACGTGAACCTCGAGAGAAAAATCATCGTGTCAACCTTATTCTTCCCGTTGTTTTGCATCCCCGTTACACAAGCTTGCAATTACTTTTATATACATTGAGCTTGTGTTGTTGCTTTCATAATTAGTTAGCTTGTGTAGCTTACTAGTTACCTTCTTGCCTGTGTAGCATAGAAGTAGCTCCCTTGCGTGGCTAATTTGGTTTATGTAACCTTGTTAGTCATATTGCTTAGATTGTGTAGCTAAGTAATTACGCTCTCTAATTTGGCATTGGTTGTCTTGTTATTGAGCATTGCTAGTGAGCTTAGGTGGCTTTGTGCTTTTGCTTACTAGCATGTGTAGGAGCTCAATTGTTGCTTAAAGTACTAGTGGCATAGGTTTGTGTGACCTTGCTCCTAGAATTGGTTAGGAGAGTTCTAGCTAGCCCTGCACCTTAGTTGTTTAATTAGTATCTTTGGAAGGTGCTAGAGAACATAAATAGAGGGGTGTAGTCTTGGGTAGACCGATAGTTTTAATTCCGCACTTGTTTCGGTTAGCCGACGCGATTAATTGTAAAAAGGATTATTCATCCCCCTCTAGTCGTCATCTCAACCCTTTCAAAGTATCACTTCGAGATAAATGATCTTGGAGGTCTAGATCTCAATTTAGCTTCATAGTAAGAGTTTTTGAGACATGATAATGGTGTCCTTTCCCATGTTGTGAAGACTAACTGTGATTGTGTCCTAGTTTTCTAAGATTGTGATTTTGTCCTTGCTTTTACAACCCAAACAACTGCTTTCCCTATTTTCAATTGTGCTAGTTGGAGTTCAGATAACAGAGTTAAAAAAAGGGGAACATCTAGAGCCCGTGTGGCCGGGCTCCGAGCGGCTCCGGCTCCTCTGACTCCTCCCCTGTTCATCTCCTGTAGCGACACTGTTCACCGGAGCCGTTTTTCTCTCTCCTCCTTTCCTCTCTCACTGACAGCGCCGGAGCCGGAGAAGCTCGTTTTTTTTTTGCTCCTCCGGCTCCAGCTCCTGCGCGCTACAGTGTGGGAGCCAGAGTAGGCGAGAGCCCGGCCAAACGCGCCCCTAGAGAATTGGTAGAAGAATTATTGGTGAGATTGTAATTTTATCCATGCACTTTCATACTTTAAAATAGTGTTTGTCAAAGTTTGACCAAATTTGAAATGCATGCAATTGTTGTCAAGTTTTATTGTCAAAATTGTTTTGGTATCTTTCAAAGTACTTACAAAAGGTAGGCAATTGCAATTCCGTGTGGCAAACTAGTTTTTTTATAGCTAAGTTGATATTTTTAAGTCATCTTAATGAAATATAAAGGGGCAAACACTACATTTAGTTCAAAGGAGGGTAAAACCATAATTGGGCTTGAAACAAGAAGCAGGAACACTAAGATGTTATTTGGTTCAGTGCTTTTCCCCCTGCAATGATTAACAACACGATCACTTCACGTTACTTGATGTTTGGTTGAGCTCGGATGTAATCGACAATGAAGGGAACCAATACGGGCCTGTACAACGCCAATGTTGCTCACCTCGAGGTGTTACCTAAATATACTCAAACTCTCAATCTCGTGTGACATTACTTTGTCCAACCAAACAGTCTTGTAAGTGTTCCCATCAACGACACCGCCCCCCCCTATTCCATTTATGTTCCCGTTGGCATTATCAGTTTGCCAATCAAAAACACTACCTGAGAGTTTTCAAGGCACACATACGTGCTTACAATTTCCGTGCGAAAAAATAATTATGTCATATAGTTTGAAAATAATTTTTTGGATGGCAAAGTGAATTGCTATGAATAGCTCTCATGTTAATTTTAGATATTTGTAGTTCTACCATGAGAACTTGAAATATCTCAAGGACTCATAAATTTTGTAACAACTTCCTATCACTTATCTTTGTGATGATGATAATGTTATGCAAAGCGATGTGTGTTGATCTTAGGCTTTTGTCTGAAGATGCATATCAGGGAAAATCTGAAATCACTTATTATGTTTTAATTGATTCTATATACAACCTATATAGATGGAACCCACTAAGGATAATTTATTCATATTTTTCTATATACCACGTTACGCCATGTCACCGCTTTTGTTGCAATTGTCCAATCTTAAGCACCTATCATGGTCATAGCCATCATCATCCTCTACCCTAGCGAGTACCTTACATTGCTTAGGTACAAGTACAACAACTGAAGCATTCGAACTTCCTTTCACCAGAATACAAGGTTTGTGTTTCCTTCCACTAAGCATCTAAGGTTTGTGTTTCACCTCCCAGAAATTAATGTGCCCTTTAATGTTATGCAACATTAAGCACCTCCCAATAGTTAGTGCATTCTATCCCTCTATATTATCCTATAATGACTCTCATTCAAATGAACATCCCTACCTCTCCTATTTGACCCACCGACGCTCAACTCATCAGTAGAAATGCTAGATGCCTACCAAGTGCCAATACCGATCATCTACCCATCTTCTGATCCCCTGTCTCGGTTCAAATTCCTCACGTATGATGGTTATCTAAGGTAGGTGCGACAACTTCAGTTCAAGCAATGATGAGGCAGCCATTTTTATAGGACACAGCCTAAATCGTCTCGGTGAATGTATCTATCGATCACTATCTCGATGAATATATTTATCGAAGTTGTTTCTCCCACAAGATCCATGGAGCTCCATGCACCCGGAACCAACGATGGCCCTTGCATAGGAGAGGAGTATTGGGCTGAACATGAGTTAGTAAACCACCATAGGCGGTTGCATACATGATTATTGTTGCATCAGCTCATAGCTGATGAGTACTTCCTCCATCCCTTTTTAAGTGTCGTTGTCACGTGTCGAGAAGTCAAACATACTCAATTTTAACCAAATATGTACAAGAGATTACTAATTTTTATAGTGCGCATTAAGTATCATTATATTAATTATTAAGTATTGAGTATATTTTTGTAGTACACTTATTTGGAGATACAAATGTTACTGTTATTTTCTATAAATTTAGTCAAACTTAAGAGTATTTGAAATACACAAAAATCTATATGACACTTCAAAAAGAGACGGAGGGAGTATATGCGAAGTTCCACGACAGGTTCTTCTAACTATTGCGCATACCCAGGACTAATGCTCCCCATATTTTACCAACATATTTTCTATATTCTGATAAAATATTGGCTATGGATTGCTTCCGTTCTTGTGTGATAATTTGATGCGTTAGCATGTGTCACACCAGATGAGGATCATATGCTAGCTCTCAGCTTCATAGATAGCGGTCTAATTAAACGAAGTGCAGTTTTGATGTTTCCAAACATCTCATCCCTAGAGCCAGACAAACTTCTTTATTGATTCTGATAAAATTCATAATCGCGCAATTAGAGAAATAAGACTATCTTTTCAATGATTCTGATAGCCATCACGCAATTAATACAACTAAAATTATTATCTACATAATAGGCCACTGTCCAAAATGAACAAACGGAAAAATGGGATAACCAGTTTATTACTTCACGTCGATGATGTGCCCATGAGCAATAAAATATGAATGAAGGAATTTTACAGAGAGAATTCTCGCCTACGAACAAAGCAGCCTGAATCACTTTCATTTCTGGCTGCGTCTAACAAAATAATCAGTTAAGCATGATGGTACCATGACTAAAATTGACACTATGTTGTTGCCTAATGCTTGCCTGTGAGTCCTATATCACAATCCCTATTTGTAGCTTGAAGAATGAGATCCTAGCCCTGCACTCAAGCTCTAGGAAAATTGCAATGCTAAATCGCTCGGCAGCCTACACAACTGTTGAAATCTCCGGAGTTCTGCAACCAAGCGTTGAACAGTTACTTAGTGTCTTCCTGCAGAATCAATAGACACGGCCTCGGCAATTGGTAGCTCCACAATGGCAGGGGCAGCCATCACCTGCTACAAGCTTTTGTCGGTAATCATAGGCGAGTTCTTCTCCTACGGCAATCTGAAGAATAGCATATCAATAATTAAAAGCAAGTTGATATAAGTTATAATGGAAAATGTTAAAAAGAATCTTACGTCTTGATTAGCAAACAAGCCAATGTGAGCAAGCTGGCAATCTTTGCTCTCTACCAAAACCAATCGGATACTGAGATTCGGGGAACAACTGTTATCAAAGCAATAAGCACAAATGAATACTGTTTCCAGAATCAACTTGCTCCAGTGATGGATTTCCCTAAAACATGATAAAATGGAATTACCTGTGATTAATATAGCGGGAAACATTTCCAGACCTTGTGGCATCAATCAAGTATTCAATAGCCCCTACAGTCCGAACTCTTTCCCTATCAATCTGAGAAGCAATGTCAAACAAGTAACTGCACCCACCCTTTGATGACACACTGAAATATATAAAAAAATAATCAGTTTAGAATAATGAATAATTATTACAACAACATAAATCCAAAAGAATTGACAGTGCTCTTTACAGGCCTGAACTGTATGGGATGAGAATTCAATGAGATGCATCCCATCAGTACAAGAAAAGGAAGCCATCCAAAACACATATCAATAACTCAAATCCACTTAGCTATTGCATTCAATGGTTAAGTGCAAATCTCCAAAAATGTGAAATGAACTAGTTGTTGGATGAAAAGTTTAGCATTTAACTATGCATAAACAAGATAATGTGGACAAGTTTGGTGAAGTTCATTTTCTACACAACTGAGAACTTCCAATATGTCTTTTCAAGTTCAGATTCAAAGAAAGCATATGAAAGAATGCCAAACCTTTCTGCGTTTTCCATGGTCTTGTCGGCCTTCACAATTTCACCAATACACTCGCAGACAAAGGTACCCTGTGGAATAGGTTCAGCAGCTCTAATAGCCCAACCCTACAAAATTTGACAACATTAAAATAAATTGCAAGGAACACTAAGGAGCAGATTACATACAGGAGTTCAGAAATCCATCATGGGGAATACTTCACCTTATTCTCAGTTCTGAAGAGTTCCAACTTAACAAGCAGCCCTTTCTGCAATACTTTATTCTGGCAGGATGAGTCACAAGTACATGACGAATTGCACTCATATATTGGATACCCTTCCTACCAATCAGAAAGGACAAAGGTATATAAGCCAAATAATATAGATTATAGAACAATGAAGAAAACAATACAACGTGGATCCCGAGTTATGAGAATTACGAATAAGGACTAAAACATATAGCTTAACAGAAGCATACCACGCGCATTGCCGCGAGATTTTCTTAAAAATAAATCTGTTTTATTTTTTTTTATTACTATATGGTATTCTGTATACTGTGTATATATATGGATTTGACTTGCATGTTATTTTATTGTATCGGATCGGGTAAAAATGGTAAGCTAATAGAAGAAAAACCAATAGAATATTTGATCACATTGTAGAAGAACAGGTGATGAAACAAATAGCATATGTAGATGACTTTACGCCAATAGATTAAAGATTAAAAGTATTGCACATAATAGACATGATGTGGATATTTTTGGCAATTAATAAGGGATGACGTGGATTGCAAGTTAGTGGGACACTTAGTGGGGAATGATATGGACACCTTGCATGAAGAGATAAAACATCTAGTGAGATTTAGCTTTATAAGAGTATATAGATATAGATTAAAACAAATCTAGTACCAGATGTGCGGACCTAAGTCCACATGTCAGACCAATGTTTTCAAGGCGTCGCTTTGTCGTCGCTTAATCGCCAAGGCGCTCCACGCGGGACGCCACAACAGATGACTCGCCTTAGATTCGTATGGCGTCCGCCTTACGACCGTGACGTCTAGAAATCGTCGCTTTGGCGTCCGATTCGCGCCAAATCGTGCGTGGCGGGCGCCATACACGGGTCTAATTCTGGGCGGCAAACAGGAGTGCGCAGAGAGAGCTGGCGTGCAGGAGAAATTGGCACGCACGCAGAGAGAGACGCACGGAGAAATACAGCGCAGAGAGAGGAGCACGCGGGAGATCTTGAAGGGGAGACGGCGGCGGCTGTCGATCTGAGAGCACTGACCAAAGAGGAAGGGGAGGCAGAGGAGAGAGAGGAAGGGGAAGCAGAGGGGCGGAGGGAAGAGCAGAGCAGCGCATCCGGAGAGCATCAGGAGGAGAGGGAAGCAGAGCAGGGCATCCGGAGAGGGGCGGAGGGAAGCAGAGCAGCCACTCGTGCGGTCGTGTGGAGGCGGAATAGCAGTGGGGAGCGGCGGCGCTGATGGGGGTCGGGAACTCGGGATAGGGACTTCGATGAAGCCACACGCCAGGAGGGGAAGGAGCACATGGTCTGCCTAGTGGGCTGGGCGAGCCTACTTCTTACTCGGCTCCTTTCTTTTTCTTTTTTTCCTTTCCTTTTTTCTTCATCTACTGCTCTAAGCTGCTGTTTTCATTTTTTAATTAATTTCTTAAGGCGTCGCCTCGCCTCGCGCTTTAGTCGCTTAAGCGTAAGGTGGCTCGCCTCGCCTTACCGCCTTGAAAACATTGGTTTAGACCCCAAGCCTTAGATGAAACACAACAGTTTTAACATCAGTCTTTACGTAAAACAAAATTTGGCCATCCTATTGGTGTATTATAAGCACAGAACAAGAATGAACTAAGGACTAAGAACAGTTGTTTGGTGCAACTTTTTTCATATGGCAATGGAAAAATAAAAAACAGAAGATGTACCAATGCTGATAAGTATTACCTGTAAAATAATTTTACTATCTTTAGCATATGCAAATCTGCCATGCATTGGTGTTCCATTGATATCCACCAGGCTACCGTAGACACCATCAAACAGACTCACGTGACCACAGTTCTCAGGAGAACATTCAGGATGGGAACATGCACACCCAGGCAAAGAGTTCTGTAGAAACATAACTTGTTAGAAAATATTTTTTCTGAAGATGAACAAAGGTGACATGAGATATGTCAATGAAGTCCAAGGAAAATATAGACCCACTTATTACACAAATATATATTCATATATATCAATAATTGAAAACAAGAAAAGAGTACCTCTGAATCAATAAGAGATGAATCCATCAAACGCTTTGTGATATAGTGGAAACCTTGCCAAGGCACAGAACTGCCACGTGGCAAAAGTTCGTCAGGCTTCATACCTAAAGAATCTTTTGCATCCGCGTCAATGACACAGACAATTGGAACTTTCTCCCTGCCAAAGCTTATGTCTTCACAAAGAACAACTCTCTCATTTTTAGGCTTCCATCCAAAGTGCTTTGAATCAAGAACATAATGGTATTCTTCCATTCCCCACATTTCATCATCATTAAGAGGATCAACTGAAGGAGCTTCAGGAAAATCAGGAAAATCAACTGCCGTGAGTTGCATAGGAAGCAGAGCATTTGAATTATATCTAGACTTGCAACCTTTAGGGCATATGAATTCCTCTTGATGCCAATCAATTTGGATGCCATTGTCACTGCAAAGCTTTGCGGCTTTCACAAATATGTTCTCAGGTAAAGATCCGTATTTAACTTCCAATGCAGCAAGAAGACTTGTCTTACAGCATACAGAACGGGCAACCGATAAAATATCAATGTTGCTTGGATGGGGTCTTGTCTTTTGAATCTTGGAAAATAAAGTTTGTGCAACATCTGAGCATTGGAAATCCTGTAACTTACCAAGGCTGGATGTTTCAGGTTCAACTACTTGAGATGTTAGGCCAGAGCTCTGAAACTTTAAGTTTTTATCGATTCCAGAGTTACTCCTCTTCTTTAATGTACTTGTTGGCCGTAAACTTTTCTTGAAAGCAGAATAGTAGTGCCGGCCGCGGTTAAGCTGATACTTCCCACGGCCCAGTGGAATGTGGCCAACAGCACCTGAGTCCACATGAGCGACTTTATGGTGGCGGCCAAGATCTGGCAGAAGATCAAATTTGAGCCCACATAATCTGCAGATGAACTTCTGTGAGCCATCGTCATCCTCAACGTTGTGGCTATCATAAAGGGGCAGACCACTTGTCCCTTCTGTTTGTTGAGCAGATTGACCATTTGGTCGCTGAGGGACATCAAGAAGCCTGATTTGTTGGGCATGGTCGGAAATAATGTGAGGGTATAGCAGATCTGTGGTCAAAAAATTGCTGTTACATAACATACATCGAATGAGAATTGAATACTGGAGGTATTGAGCCCCATGTACATCCTGCACATGCCTTTCAAGGACTTTTTTGTTGGTAAATGATTCCATGCATGCAGCACAAGAATAACCTCTAAACAGCCACCGGGCTTCCTTTTTGTGGACAGTTGTCCAATGTAATCCAAGAGCTTGATCATCAGAGAACTGGTGAGCACAAATTTTGCACTTCGGACCAGATGAAAGATTAGTTCCCTCTTCCTGCAACACTACAGATCCTTCTTTGTTTTCAGAATATATTTGCTTAGATCTATTTGTATCAAAGCCCCAGATATTTGCTAGTTTCTCTCTCTCAGTAGATATCAACTTTAACAAAAACTCTCCAACATCTGGATTTTTGGACACTTCAGCCACTATCTGGGGCATATGTTCACTAGCAAGACCGGTGCGTTGATGCGAAAGGTTGTTCCTCAAGAACCAATAAAGAAATTCACATGCCTGGTGTAGACATATCTTATCTTTTCTTGATGTGCAGCCCTTCAGTAGATTGACAAAGACATCTTTAGAAACGAGTCGACTCTTCCCATTCCTGGCACGTTTAAGGAACTTTGGAAGGTGCTTCTCACAATAAAGAGTATGTCGCTTGGCATAATCCTGGCATTCAACAATACTTTCATGAGAGTGAATTCCAATACAAAGAGAAGTATCATCAGTATTTGTCATGGAAGTTGACGCCGCACACACATCAATTTTCTCCATTGCACCTTTTTCACAAGAGTTCTCTATAGCCACAGTTGTCATCAATTTCACTTGTACAGCAGCCTGGACATTCTTGTCTTTTTCCAAGTCTATGCTATACATTGCTTGCGACTTAGAAATTTCTTCCACCCACTTATTCGGAGGTTCTTCGCCCATATGGAGTACATCAGATGGATCCAACAAATTTTCTGGGTGCATTGCATCCAAGTTTGTCTGTAGGTGGTGCTTTTTACAAAAAGTAGAACCATGCTGAGCTCGATGCTTGCATTTTCTACCCATATTAGTCATACCACTGCACAATGGAGCTTCAATGGTAAGTGCCTTGTCCTCCCTTGAAGAATGGTCAAGAAAATGCATACTTTGATGCACGCAACAGTAAATATCACCATCATTTGCCCACCTACCACACTGCCTTCCCTTTGCTTCAATGTACGCAGAACACTGCCGAGAACTCTTGAATGAATCTAAATCAAGTCTAGCATTCTGTAAAGCTGCATTGGCACTACTGGATATTGTGTTCTCGTTGGTGCCAGAACTTCCAGGTAATGTGACAGCATTATTTTGATTTGTTGCTCCTAATGCCCCTACATTTTCATGCATGACAGAGTTACTAGGAAGGTTATTTTGGTTTGGGTCTTCGGTTGGAGTCCTGTAGTCAGCTTCACCCATGTGTGAAATTTGTATCTCCCCTCTTCGGACCTCAAGCTTTGGACGCTTTCTACTACCTTGTTGATCTAAAGCTGGATCATCGTAACAATTGGTTTTCTCGAAGTTGCCAACATTACCAGCAGGATGCAATGAAAAGTACTGTTTCATCAATTCTTGTTTCCATGTCTTCCACTCAGGGACTAATTCAGGCTGCACTGATGCATTCCGCAATTCCTTAAGCTTGTTCCCAAGAATGGACTGTCGAAGTTCCTGTTAAAGAAGAGAAGAAATAAAAAGTTGGCTACACTTTACTCGGAATAAGAAAAATAAGTATATAAATGTAATAGGAGAATAATCAATATTAGACACCAGAACTCTGGAAATAGTGCTATCAAGATTCAGCAGTAAAGAAACATTGAGTAAATCTAGTCGCTTCAATAAAATCAAATTACATAAACCAATTGCATCGTTTACTTAATGACAGTGAAGGGAATTAAAGTTAGAGTATAATTTAAACAATTTGTCAGTCGAGAAATGGTGATCTACTTGTTACAATCAAGCACGGAAAGATAATTTATACTTGTGATTAAAAAAACTACAATGAGTGACAAACTGTGATGTTTTAAAACAAATAGTTGGCTGAAGAATAAAAACTAACACAAAGAAAACTAAGTTGCCTAGCTCTCCATACTTTCACCTTAAACATAGCACATATATTATATATAAGCACATAGGAGAACATATTAGTTATCTAAGCACTGTTTCAACTGAATGTAGAACAAGGCAATGCAAAACTCTTTTATAGTCTACTGTAAGAAATTCAAATGATTATTAACACAACCATCAATATCAAATTGAATAATGAGGTAAGTAAAGAGAACCCGAATTCTTAACCACCAAGTGGGTATTTCTAAGCACAAAATGAAGTAAAGTCGGAATGTACAAACAAAAAACATAGAGAAACAAGATATTATTATCCAATAAACTATTGATGATTGAAACAGAGGTAACCATCAAGCTAAGTAGATGCAACTGGGCAGGGTAGATCTGCCCCTGCATTTGCCACGCATGGCCAGAACCTACTTTTCATGGAATCAGATAGGCCTTGTGGGTGGTGACCCATTGATGAGTCATAAACATTGACCAAAGAGGAAAGATCTCTACCAGGAGAAAGGAATTTAACTAAGCAAGAGAAGATTAGGCAAGTAATTGTGGAAAATGCATGAATCAACTAGCTGTCAAATAGAAACTAATCCAAGAAACAAACGCTGGGCAACTCCACATGAAGAGGCATAAAACCGATCCAACGCTGCATCTGTTCTATTCACAAAGAGAATCATGACTTCTTTGTTCCCCTCACCTATGCAACAGAACTGAAAAAGAAGCCAGGAAACAGATGCAGAGCAGCTTTGGTGGTTTCCACGCACTATGGCTGCAGATAGATCCAGACCACAACGCCAGCAGCGCCCCAAACAAAATTTTCTGCACCTCACCACTGCTTGCGCTGCTAGCCCCCTACGACCTCGGCACCTTCTCTACGCGCCGCCGTGGCCAGTCTGCCAGATCTGGATGTGCTTGAGAAGAAAGAATGAGAGGCGGCGGCGAGAAAGATAAGAGAGGGAGGATTTAAGTCTTGTGAAAGGATTGGTCCGCAACAGATGGTGGGTGGGGATAATGGGCCCCACTGGTTCTCCGGGTCGTATTATGCCCCCTTGAAAGCAAAAATAAAGGGGTCGGTCCACGGGCCGCCCACCCATCTTGCGGCCCCCTAAATCTAAGAAACTCTACAATTCATTGCCCACTTTGCTATAAGCATAGATAAATTTGCCAATAAAATGGCAGACACAAATGAGGAAAGTTAGTAAAAGAAATGAATCTAGGAAGCATCAATTAGGAGGTTATGAAAGGGTAGCAAGCCAAAGTTGTTACAATGAGTGGTTTAGAAATGAGTCTGACACATGGCAGGTGATATTATGACATTCAACATTTTGTAACAATCCACGTACCTACCTAAGAAAGTGTGGTTGTAGTCCCTAAGCTTAGGCATGACAATGTTAGACTTCGAGCAGAACACCCCGTAAATCACGACCTTCCAAACAACATAGTGCAGAGGAAGGAGAATAAAAATTATAGTACCTCACAAAGCATTTCAATAGTCTCAGCATCATGTGCATTCATACACTTTTGGTTCCACATCTCAAAAGAATTTTGTAGCCATTCACAGCTTATGTAGTCAGGAAGAATCATCTGAAATCAAACGATTAAGATGAAACAATGCTGGGAAACATACAAGGAAATAATTGACATGTTAGATAATAAAGAACCGAACATTGTTCAAATATTTGTAAGACCACCAATGACACAGATCTATGGAAACTCAGAAAGCCCTAGTGAAGATCTAGTCCAGCTTGAGATACCACATACTGATCAATAAAATGAGAAGGTATTCTTACATGAGTTGTCATTTTGTATAGCTGGATTGAATAAACATATCATGATAAGTATCATCGAGCGTACATGATATAATTTTGCAAACAAAGACTTTGAAGTGGATGGTGATTTCTTAAAGTGTTAGGAACTGAGCCTTAGGTGTGGGTGTACACCCCCACCACCCAAGCTCGAGTCCTTTTTTCTTTTTTTTTTGTGTGTGTGTGTGTGTTTGTTTTTTTGGGGGGTGATTATTTCTATTTATCAGCAATAACGGCTAGTACCTCCTAGACATTGGTCGAGCCTGCACCCCCCACCCAAAAAAATGTATGGAAAAAAAGAACAAAATTGTCCTAATAAAGCTTCATATTCTACCAATCTTTAATCTAAACCTCTAGGCATTTTTTATGGAGTTAAGACTCCCAACGATAAATTATGATAAGTACAAGATGTAAGGAAGATATCAATGTTTTTCTCCCTTTTTCGTTTTTTATCTGCAAATTGCCATAGCTAATGGATACTACTAGTACTAAATTAGTTTTTTTTTTGTTAATTAGTATCTTGTTGGGTCTCATGTCTAGTCTACCTAGCTTGCTAAGGCATTGTTGTAACTGGTGTCATGGGGTTTGGCATCAGGCATCCCCTATAGCAAAAATGTAGAGCCACTGAGCCAACATGTGAAGGGCGGGCCTGGTGCAAGCGGTAGAGTCTTACCGCCTGTCACCGGAAGGTCCCGGGTTCGAGTCGCGGTCTCCTCGCATTGCACAGGCGAGGGTAAGGCTTGCCACTGACACCCTTCCTCAGACCCCGCACAGAGCGGGAGCTCTCTGCACTGGGTACGCCCACTGAGCCAACATGTTGCAATGTTTCAAAAGAAACATAAAAAAATATGCATGTGGTAAACACAAAGTTAAATAGACTTGCAAAAGTTCGCCCCTAAATTCATCTTTGATGTTGAGATTCAAAAAATACAAGTGTCACGGCCAGCACATGATGAACAGTGCTAGATTGACCGCTTGTCTATTTTGATTCTTGACATTTATGACGAATTTGGAAGTGAATCAGCAGCCTTACTTAACTTTATATTTACTACATAAACAACTTTTTGATGAACTTTTGAAAAACCGCAACATGATAAATTCACTATTGATGACAATGCTAATTATTATTTGCAGGCTCTATTTCATGCTATGATGATCGTCTTAACAGAAGTCTGTGACACATCCTAGATAAAATGTGCAGAACAATGACTATGGTACATCCAGCAACAGATAAAGGAAAAATGATGTATAGTAAAACTATGGACATAAATAGACTACATAATTTACTGCCATTGAAGATAGACAACATGAAGGCATGTAAAGGTCACAAAGAGATAGACCACAGTCAGATAGTCACATGGAAAGTATTTCCATAAAATGGAAAAAAGACGTAAAAAAACATCAACGGTAAGCACTGCAAAGTAGCAAAACGGACATTCTACTTGCTTAAGAAAAGTTGACGCGACGCGACGCTCCACGAAATATCCACACGAAACAAAGTTCTCGGATTTACATTTTGAAATTTGAGGAGCATCTTCCCAAGATCAGTGTAATCTCTACAGCAAGACGCTTCCAGGGCAAATTCTTTCCATGTTGTAGCCTTCCGAGCATTATCAACTACAGCCTAATAAACATATAAATTGTGTCAACAACTGAAGCCAAAGGCGTAAGAAAACTTGTAATAACATAACCAACCTCAATATGAAGCTCATCAATTAAATTTATCACAAAAACGGCAAGATTCTGCATGTTGAATCGTCGAGGAATGTTCAAATCCTTCACCAGCTTTCTCCATTTACGATGAGTTCCATTCACAAGTGGCAAAGGACATTCCTCTATTGGAAGAACAAGTAGCATGTCTACCCAAGAATAAGTTTTTGTTCGTGGGAAGAAAACGACAATATAGGTCTTCCTGTCATGTGTTGGTTTTGCCCTTAGAGTAGGTAAAGGACAATCTACTCTACAGCATCGAATTCCAGTTTGCCATTTTCCTCTCCACTGTTTTCACATGAAAAGGATAAAGCATGTTCACAGAGGAGGTATTAGAAAAAACAAAAACTTCTCTATAAAAAGAAGGTAGCTGAACTATAATAGGAGTACTAGTGATCTTGTAGGTAGCTCAGTGAACAAAATTTCTCCTTTTCATTTTTTGCAATAGTAAATTATGCTAGAATCACCAATGTACCAAATATATTATCTTCATTATGCACAAAAGGAGAACATATTATCGCGGTACCTAAAGCTCAGTGTACAGAAAATAGTTATTTGGGTCCCAAGATACCCCTTCTTTGCTTAAATACACAATATTTAGCTGAATAAACAGAAGAAAGCAAAGGTACCACTTTTAGGGGGAAATCCAGCATAATTTACACCACAAAATTCCATCTGAGTCATGAAACAAAAATGTTTAATAGGACATGGGAAGGTATTCATTCTGAGACCGTATATGAAAAGAAGTCCCATCTAATCATTTTAGTTAAGGCTTCGACCTTCGATCTCAAGTTACCTTTTTTTAGGATTAGGACTAATAAAGAAAACAAGACTTTACATGGACCACTCAAGCATACCATTGTTTAACTGGAATAAAGCTGCAACTAAGACTACAATTAGAAAATCATAACAGAGCTATGAGTTGCCCCCCCCCCACAAGTAATACATGGTGTATCTATTAAATGCACAGTTTCTGGAACCTGAAACATGACATGTACTTCCTCATGTAACCCCAAAACGAATTTAAATAAAGAAAAGTGTACCTTCACCCAAAGTGCTACAGCGTGATCCTCATCTCCAGCATTCCCCATATTGAACTCCTCCCCTTTATAATTGGTATCACCATTACAACTATTGTTATCAACATTATGGCCCATATCATTTAAAGGGGAAACAGGCTTCTTCTTCTCTTCTTGTGGAGAAGATTTATTACGTACTAAATCAATACTGCAGGCTATTTCTGATAGATCTTGGAGCGTACACTGCAATTCTTTCTGCCGTGCATGGCATCCTACCAAGTCAGTTCCGACTTCCTTACTTACAGCATCTACATTTCCATCCACTTTGACATGATCCTCTGCTATTTTCTCCTCTTCAGAAGGTGTGGCATCTCCATTGATTCTGCATGAACTTGGTAATGACACTGTATTGGGAGAAGGATGTATCTCTTCCTGAGGATGATGCATATCCTTCTTACCAAAATTCTGTTTATTAAAGTTGTCATCAGTTTGCAAGCCATTATTATTTCCAGCACTTGAATTCAACTGAAGTTTTACATCGGAGCAAGAACTGTCGTTATTCTTCTTTCTTAGTTCTGTCCCCTGAGGTAAATCACCCAAGTTAAGAGGTGAATTTTCGAAAGCAGCATCTAATACCTCATCTATGCCTGTTTGACAAGCATCGCTAACCTTGACAGGGTTACATACTATTGTATCATCTTTTGGGTGGATATCAGAGCCTGCCCACCCATAATCATCATGTGAGATGGTCAGCTTCCTATCATAGGCAATTGATGATGTTTTATCCACATCATTTTTCAACTTGCAATCCACTTGCATAACAGGAGGGTCCATCAGCATTGCTTTGCCAGGATCTGGTCTACCAATCCACTATTATGAGGAAAAAAGCAAGACTTCCAAAAGCAGTGCAGGAATTATCCTCTACTAGCATGAAGCCCATAAAGACTGTAGACTTAGTTCTACATAGAAAAAATATAAAACTGTTGTTTAGAGTATATGCAGCGCTTCGGAAGAAAACATATTATGGAGGAAAAAGAAAAAAATAAAAACCTCACGAAAATCTAACAGAGTTGCATTTGAAACAGAAAAGAATATATTATACTTACGATGATTTTTCTATTTAACAAACATGTGAAGTGACAGCACTACCGATGCAAAAAAAGGCAGTATTATTTTGTTCTTTTTTCTCATAATACACAGGAGAGTATTATCTTCTTCTCCCATGCTATTTAAAAAAAATACATGAAAACATGGTGTTCTAGAAAGTGCTACGCTAGGCAAACAGCAGTTGCTACCTAGGTGATTAGGCAGGCGAAATATTCACCAAGGCTGGTTACGAGGAAGCTAGGGGAAAGAGGTGGGGCCTAGCGCCCAGGCAGCTACGCAGCCGACTTTTGAAGCATGATGTAGATTGAAAGGTTTGGTTCAAGCGTAAAAAGGAAACAGAGAAAGTAGTGTATTCAACAGTTGGCATCACAAAATAAATAGCTGGTCATATGTGACAGCACTGTCATGCAAATACACAGACTAGTAACGAACTCCCAGCAGGAGCATAGATATACTGGATTCGTTTGAATCTGACACAAGTAAATTAACGAAAATGCCACATTTTGACTTGTAGTACCATGCAATTAAAGTCCATTTGAATTACATGCATGAAATCACAGTGCGGCTCTCTCTCTCTTTTTTCCTGGTCTAGCTACAGCAAAATTTCAAGAGGGCATGGTATACGGTAAGCATGCAAAACTGCACAAAATGTAGTGGCATTTTCGTACGGGTACCAGGGCCATTAAATACATGTGCCATAAAACCCTAACGGCATGTTTCAATGTGCAGTAAAATTGTGCCAGTCCCTGTAGATGTTCGTTCGACGCGCCCATGGATTAGGATCCATGAGGCGATTTTGGTTATGGATTGGGACCCTAGATTCGGCAGAATGCTCAACGGTCTAAATCCCAAAGGAGCCGAGCATGACCATGACCGATCCTTACGGAGACGGAGAAGAAACGGAAAAATACCCTCCGTGACGATGCACCGCGAAGGAGGCGGCGCCAGCTCCCGCAGCAGGCCGCGTTCCCCCGGCTGCGGCGAGTGCAGCAGGATTCGGCGGTGGCGACAGCAGGGCCCCGAGGATTCGGCGGAGGAGCAGGTAGCCGAGACTCAGAGGATCGGACGAGAGACGCCAGCGGTGGCTCGTGACGGCCACGCGAGGCTGGGAGCCGCGGCGGCCGGCGGGAGGCGGTGGTGGCGACGAAGGGTTTGCGACGTGCACGTGCTGGGGAGGGCGAGGGGAGATGGGGGAGGTGGGCGGCGTCCGCGATTCGCCCCCGGTGAGACGGTGTGAAGGAAAACAGAGAAGGGGAAAAAATTAGAAAACTCGCCAACTGATTTCACCTCGTCGGGATTAACCGCTTGGGCCGATATGGGCCTACAAAACGGCTATCCGGCCCGGTCTAGCAAAGAGGCCCCGCAGAAATCCAACAATTCTATGAAAGGAAGCCCAAATTAGAATGGCCGACGGCGCGGCCCATACAAATCTTTCTGCGTGGTCCACCCGCGCGGTACCTGACTTCGGCATATCGCAGCCCGGCACTCCGCGCCCCTCCGCCGCGGCGGGCTTCTTTCCTTTCCCACTGTACGGCGTACGCACGCGCACGACCATCGGCCCATGTGCCCCAGTTTCCCGTGCGCCGGCCGGTTCCAATTCCACGGGCATGAGTCCTGTAGACAGACTAGCGCAGCGAACCCCGCGCCGAGGACTAGCGCATCATTTCCGCATATTTTTTCGGGTAAAATACATTTTTTAATCGATTTTCAACCTTCAACTATGAAACCGGGTAACAGATACCCTCTAACTGTCAAAACCGGATAAATTTGGTCCTCGACCGGTTTCAAAAACGGTTTTTTATTTCTTCTTCTTCTAATAATAATAATAATAATAATAATCCGGTTCGATCTCTAGAAGTTCGTAATTATTTTATTTTAAATTATAAAAATATGAAACTAGTTCATGTTTTCTTCTAAAAATGTTATATATATATAAGTTGATGCTATATTTAAAATTATTTAGATCTTACTTGTTTTAAATATAATAACAAATGTGACAACTAGCAATAAAGCAATAGGAACATAAATAAACCAATTCCAAAACCATAAACAAGTAGAGAACATTTTTAGAAAAAAGTACTAGTTTCATCTAAAATAAATGCTGGTGGGGGATAGCAATGCTACTATATACATTAATATAGGGCTTGGTGCTCACGGTCTGCCTCTCGAGTTGTTTTCGGCCAAAAGCAAGGCTTGGCACCCGGTGCGCGCAGAGACGAAAGCAGGGAACTATCATGTAAAAGAACGGAAAGCGAACAATTTAATTTCGTGCGAAATTTAAAACAATTCTAAATATAGCATCAACATATATATAATATTTTTAGAAGAAAACAAGAACTAGTTTTTTATTTTCTTTAATCCCTTCTTCATTTTATAATTTAAAATTAATTAATTAGACAATTTCTAGGGATCGAACCAGATTTTATTATTATTAGAAAAATAGAAACCCGCTTTTGAAACTAGCGGAGGACCAAATTTGTCCTGGTTTTGATAGTTGGAGGGTGTCTATTATCCGGTTATATAGTTGAAGGTTGAAAATCGAACTTCAATGCGAGTTGGAGGTTAAAAATATACTTTACCCTATTTATTCAGATATGATCACATGAAGAAATGGCGTTTCAGTGCCCAGAACCCGGAGCGGCGGAGCGCATTTGGAACGCAGGTGAGCGAGATCCCTGAAGCCAGCCACCCTTTGTGTCCTATGATTGCCGTTGTTGATGCGTATAGCGTACTGCTAATCCGTTACAGCGTTACTTTGTTTTTTTAGGCCATGTTGCGGTGCCACTAGGTCAGGATTCAAGAACACGCCGCTTTGCACCGCTTTCGCTCCCACCCGATCAAATGGCCAACTTTTTTCCGGTCTGTTGCACGTCTTCTGAGAATAATATAGTAATACTAGCTAGAGCGCTCATGGCTCGTCATGTGTATTTTCCGTTGTGAAATACTCCGTCTTTGCCTAAAATGAGCTTCACGCTTAGATTCGCTTAGAACTTATCACCGATTTAACTACTATCAGTTTTGTCGTTTGAAAACCGCGTTCTCTCCACAATCCCGCTTTATAAACAATTTTTCTCAGGGGGTATGTTATAGTATTTTTTCTCATAACAAAACTATATCAACCATAAAAACCATCAGCCGAACAGTTCCTAGTTGTGGCAGTCAGTTTGCTGGAAAAAAGAAATGGACAGCCCAACCGAACCGATCCAACTGGTTGTTAACCTTTTGTTTTCCCTGCCGTAACGTCGGCCGGCCGGCCGGCGCACTAATCAACACCTCATCAACCAGTATTTCCAGTTGGAACCAGTGTACGTATTTCCCCCAAAACAACGACAATAAACCCGTCCCATCCGGTTGTCGTGACTCACGCCGGCCGACGGAGGCCAGGCCACTGTCACGGGCCAGCGGTGGCGCTCGATAAATCATCACGCCGACCGCTGGTACAGGCCGGCCCAAAATCACAGCCACTCCTACATGCCATCGCGCAGGGCAGATTCGCACGATCACAATTCACAGGACGGTGCTCTCCTCCCAAATTACGCGTGTCCGTCCGTCGACCGTCCACCTCGCGGCGCGGACGAGAACGATACGATGCGTTCACGCGTCTGTCTCGGGTGGGGCCGTGGGGATGGTTCAGGGGAATCCAGCCAGCCAGCAGCTATAGGCCAGATAAGCTCCCCAGTAGAGTAAAAGTGACGGACAAAATAAGCTGGTTTGATCCTGTTTCTGCTGCGGGAAAAAGCGTGGCTAAAATAAGCTGCTGAAAAACATAGCGTTTAGTTATTGATTTCAGCTTATTTTGATCATAAGCAGTTTATAACCCGTACCAAACGTGCCCATAGGCAACAAGGAAAAGTGGAGAGCGAGAAAAAAGCGGGGGCCGATCGAGCTCGCCAGCCGGCCGGTCGACAGTCGGTGGCGAGCAAGTCTCGCCTCCTCTGAAGTTGCCATCCTGTCCTCGCCGCGACTGCAACCAGGGCCTTGTTTAGATTGCCTCAAAGTTCCAAGTTTTTTCACTCTCTCCATCATATCAATTTTTGGACGTATGTATGGAGCATTAAATGTAGGTAAAAAAGTAACTAATTGCCCAGTTTTGTTGTAAATCACGAGACGAATCTTTTGAGCCTAGTTAGTCCATGATCGGATAAAGTTTGTCAAATACAAACGAAACGTGCTACAGTATCCAGATTGTAAAAAATTACAATCTAAACAAGGCCCAGGCGTTGTTTTATACACTGGAGTATTTGTTATACTAGTACAACTTTCGTTTCGGCCGTCCCATCGCTTTCGTGCCAACCGATCATCCACTCTGGCCAGCTGCCGTCGCTGCACCTTCATTCCTACTGACTGACAACCGAACGAAAAAACAGCAAATCCAGTCCCTGGCCTTTCTTGAGAGGACACAAAAAAAAAGAAAAAAGCATCTCTACAAAAAGGATCTTGCAAATCATGTCCCAGCTCAGACCCATTCGAAAATGTGCTACACTGCCACCCACTCACAAGAGTACTTTGGTGTATATATATGATAACAAAATAAGATGGTGTGAACGAGAACGTTTCGAAACTCTTGTGAGCTCTGCGGTAAAAGTTGTTTCATTGTAGCTAGACCTGTACATGGTTCGGTTACAAAACCGGCCCAACCCAGGAACCAGCCCATAATAAACCGTTTTTTAGGCCACGCACGGGCTGGCTTGGTTACGGTCAAAACCGTGGTACCCGTCTTCTTCCTTGAGGAT